CTAGAAAAAAAAAAAAGAAAGAATGATGGGGTTTTCTAGTCCCATAAACAATTAATCTCAGAAACTCACAGGAGTAGTTCGACCATGTTCTATAGGATTGCTATGCGTCAGCATCAACTCAATGGCAGTGAGTTTGGGATTTATTTTTAGAGAAACCCTGATGACACAATAGTTAAAACAATCAGATGCTAACAGAAAGGTTGTTGGTTAAAATCCACCCAGTGGCTCCATAGGAGAAAGATGTGGTGTTCTGTCCCTGTGAAGATTACAACCTAAGAAACACTATGTCTTATGAGGTTGCTGAAGTGAAATCCACTGGATGTCACCCAGCAATGACTGAAACCCAAACTACTTTTAAGTTAATTCTGACTCATAGAGATACAATGGTCACAATATCTCTATAAATTGGTCATGTTATTTGATTGCAGTGTGTCTCTCACAGTGGTTCTCAACTTGTAGGTTGTGACCCCTTTTGGGGTCGAATGACCCTTTCACATGGCTCACCTGATTCATAACAGTAGCAAAATTACTGATGAAGTAGCAACGAAAATAATTTTATGGTGTGGGGGGGTCACCACAACATGAGGAACTGTATTAAAGGGTCGCAACATAAGGAAAGTTGAGAACCACTGCTCTAGGATGAGGTCAAATAGTATCACGTATATGCTAAATATTCAATGAATGTATGTGAAATTCACATGTGGTAAATACTTTCCTTCAGCAATTTTTAATCAATCTCTTAACTATAATTCCTTAATATGGCAAAGGGTAAATTGTGAGACTGTTTATATGTTTATATTCATGTGTTTACATATTTTTGTTGGAATTATTTATTTTTGTTTATAAAATGATAAATTGGAAGGTAGTTAATAGTCCTAAGAGTGCATTTATTAAGTTGTTAGGGTTTTTTTTTTTCATAAAACGAATGAAGTTCAAGGAGAAAAATATGTCCCCAGAGGGTTTAGTATTTATTGTCTTATGAAGCCATTTGTTGGTTGGTTGTCATTGCAAACTTGAAATATTTTACATAGTATTCTTTCAGTGGGGTTCTAATTTCCTAATTTATCATATAATATTTTTAATATATTGTGATTTAAAGATTATATTCCTTAGGCTGTTTGTTTGTTTTTATGAAATACATGATTTCTACTGCTTACCTTTTTAAGGATTTAGAATGTGAGAACCTGTCAGATGAGTTCAATTGTGGGAATGAACCATGCAATCGAGACAAAAACAGATATCGAGATATTCTTCCATGTAAGTTAAAAATTTATTTTTATATTTTTCTGTTTAGATTTGGGAAAACTTTAAAGGGGGCTTGTATATTCTTTTGAGTTATGCATCTAGACCAGTAACCATAAGAATGAATTCCCCTAGGCAGCAGTGGGTGTCATGGACACATTCTAGAATATATATTAGAAGGTGGTGAGAATCAAACCATCTTTTACAGATTGTTCTTATGGATTGCTGCTGCTTAGGCAGTGAAGCATCCAAAAAAAAAGCAAAGTAAGCTAAAACTTTTGCCATTTTGTCTACGACAAGCCTTGGATATATTCCCTGACCATTTTGTGTAGACACCTAGATACAATGGAGCTAATTATAGCTTTGTCCCAGACAATAGCCTCCCCTCTATATGTTAGGTAAAGAATAATACTACCAACCCCTACCAAATGATTTACATTGAGTGATTTGCCTTGAAACAACCAAAGATAAGAAACAAAATGCAAAAGAAGTGTAGTTTTAATGTCAGGCAAAAATTATTCATATTCCTTTCAAACTCAAAATATTGCCAAATTTGATTTATTATTTTTCTTCTTCAGCTTTTACTCGCCTCCTTTATTATATAATTCATTGATGTTCAAGTTAGAAGACTTAGAATCATCTGCCATATCCCAAAGTGGTCATACAAACCTTTAGAATCCTCCTGCAGCTTTTTATTCCTATAGTCCATAACTTAGACTGATCCCATTTTATTGCCCAATTGGTGTCTGTGAAAGGACCAGTTTTAGTATTACTATGGAGAGAATATAGAATAACTTGCTATAAACATTTTTCAAGAGTTCTTGTTTGGGGACTGGAGTTGAAGTTTCATCAAGGTGAAACTGCCTGTGGTTTTCCACGTGAGGTTAATTTTATCTGGCCTGGAGTGCCTGTGCAACTCTGAGGGAGTTGAGAACTCTTTATTGCTCCACTATGAGATCCCACCTTTTGGACCTGGACCTGAATGAAATTATGCAAGACACCAATTCAAAAACCAAACTCAAGAGGAGATCCACTAAGGAGAGCAAGTTGTGCATTTTCCTCTAGCCCCATCCAACTCCTTGGATGGCTCTGTGACTGCTTCCTTCCTTTACTGTTTCTTAACCACTTCAAGAACTCAGAGCTGCCCGTTTTTCTTTCCTTGCAAGGATTTTTTTTGAGATTATTTCTTGATCAGTATCTGGAAATATAGAAAATAATTGTGCCTGCTGTCTCAAGGGAGCTCTGATTGCTTGTTGGTGAAAGCACTTGGTTGCTAACCAAAAGAAAAATGACTTAGTTTTCTCATTTTCCAAGCATGATTATGCATATCCTATTGAGTTTTCTTTACAATTATATGAGGGAGAAGTGGCAGACAATACTAAATTTTCTTGTTCTCACTCATGGCAATACCCTTTCTGAATTTAGAGTTCTTCATCATAATCTTTTTTTTTTTTCCAGGTCTCCATAGACATTACTCTATTAACTTCTGAAAATTAGGGCTAGTCAAGAGTTGTCTATTGACAAAATTAGATGGGTTTCTTAAGTGGCAGCCTATAGTCACCTGCTTTTATGATAGGTCAATGTTTAGATGTGGGTTACTCTGTTAGTGTTGCCTGGGACAGAAGGGAGGCCTTTCTGTCAGCACACTTAGGTCTGTGGCTTGGACTAATTCTGGAATCTACAAGAATGGCCAGATAATATTACTTAGCCATTTTGAGTGTAGGTGCCTTCTATGAAAAGCATGAGTAATAATAATATATCTGTTTTGATAAAATGATAATGATATCTGTTCTGATAAAGGGACGCCATCCTGCTTAAACATTTAGTAGTGCACACTGAATCCCATTATTAATTCACTTTTCTCCTATAATCATGTGGGTACTTTCTTTATACCATTGTATTTCCCATAATTTTCTTTAAAAATTAAAAAATACATTCCTTTTATATCTTCAGCATTCTTTGTTATTTTAATCATTATTATTTTGTTATCCCACTTTCTATTTCCCCCTTCAGAGTTCTGAAGGAAATTACTTATGCTAGATTTCTAAATCTGCAACTTATTTTTCTGTTCCATTCCATTTTTAGGTATTTTAATTTAATTGAGTAATCTTAGTTTTAAAGTAAGCCGTTACTATTTTAGATTATTTAATTTTCATATATTCAAATCCATTTTTTACTCTAAAAGTAATACTGACTATAAAAATTTGATTCTAAAATAACCACTGCTAACATTTGATGAATATTTGCCAGGAATTTTTTAAATTATATGTTACCATGTAATTAATTACATGGTAACATGTAATTTTTAAAAAAAGCAAGTTCTGATAAATGTTTATCACAATGTCTGCTGAGGCTATTGTGTGTGTGTGTGCATGTGTCCTTATGTGTTTGTGTACTCTAGGTTTTAGCATATCTCATAATTTTTGACTTTGACTTCTCTAGCTGCCCTTTGAAATGTTCTATTCAGTATTTGCATGTGTGTGTACATATATATATAAGCTCAAAACAAACTCAGTGCTATTCCGTTGATGCTGACTCATATCGACTCTATAAGGACAGGGCAGAACTGCCCTGGTGAGTTTCCAAGTCTGAAACTCATTACAAGAGTAGAATGCCCTATCTTTCTCCTGAGGAGCTGCTTGTGGTTTTTGAACTTAGGACCTTGCAAATCACAGCCCAACGCATAACCAGTACCCCAAAAGACTCCTGCTTGTACATATATAGGTTGTTATTGTTTTTTTTTAGGTGCCATTGAGTTGGGTTCAGCCCATGGAAATCCTATGTGCAACAGAAGGAAACACTTTCTGGCCTGTGCCATCCTCACAATTGTTCCTATGCCTGAACCCATTGTTGGTGCCACTATGTCAATCCATCTCTTTGAAGGCCTTCCTCTTTTTCGCTGCCCTTCCACTTTTTCAGGAACTGTTCTCTCATGACAACATGTCCAAAGTATGTAAGACAAGTTTTACCATCTTTGCCTCTAAGGAGCACTCTGGCCATACTTTTTCCATGATAATTTTTTTTCTCCTTTTGGGAGGCCATGGTACTTTTAATATTCTTCACCAGCACCATAATTCAGATGCGTCAATTATTCTTCAGTCTTCCTTATTCAGTGTCCAACTTTCACATGCATATGAAGAAATTGAAAATATCATGGCTTGGGTCCAAAGCATCTCAGCCTTCAAAGTGACATCCTTACTTTTCAGTACTCTAAAAAGGTCTTATACAGCACACTTACACAATGCAATGCATCTTTTGATTTCTCGATTGCTGTTTCCATGGGCATTGATTATCAATCCAAGCGAGATGAAATTCTTGACAACTTCAACTTTTCTCCATTTATCATGATGTTGTTACCTACTAGTCCAGTTGTGAGAATTTTGGTCTTCTTTGCATTGAGTTGTAGTCCAAACAGAAGGCTACAATCCTTTGATCTTTATCGGTAAGTACTTCAGGTCCTCCACCCTTGCAGCAAAGATGGTTGTGTCATCTGCATATCACAGGTTATTAATAAGCCTTCCTCCAATCCTGATGCCACATTCTTCTTATATTGCAGCTACTCTGATGATTTGCTCAGCATACAGATTGAATAAGTATGGTGAGAGGATATAACCCTAAAGCACACCTTTCCTGATTTAAAACCATGTAGCATTCCCTTGTTGGGTTCACACAGTTGCCTCTTGAGCCACGTGCAAATTCTGCATGAGCACAATGAAGTATTCTGGAATTCTCACTCCTCCCAAGGCTATCCACAGTTTGTTATCCACACAGTTTAATGCCTTTGAATAGTCAATGAAACACAAACATTTTTCTAGTATTCTCTACTTTCAGCCAAGATTCACCTGACAGCAGCCATGATATCCCTTGTTACACATCTTCTTCTGAATCCTGCTTGACCTCTGGCAGCTCGTTTGTCAATGTTTTACTGGCATGCAATATCAGTGATATTGTTCTATAATTTCAGCATTCTGTTGTGTCACTTTTTGAAGTGGATACAAATATGAATCTCTTGTAGGCAGTTGGCCAAAGCATTTTATAAATTTCCTGGCATAGACAAATGAGTGATTCTATGACTTCATGAGTTTGTTGAAACATCTCAGTTGGTAGTCCATCAGTTCCTGGAACTCTGTTTTGGCTAATGCTTTCAGTTCAGGTTGAGCTTCTGCCTTCAGCACTGTTGGTTCTTGCTCATATGCTACCTCCTGAAATGCTGGAATGTCAGCTACTTCTTTTTGGTACAGTGACCCTTTGTTTCCTCTCCATCTTTTTTTTCTTTTCTATACTTCCTGCACCATTCACTATTTTGCCTGTAGGATCATTGAATATTGTAATTTGAGTCTGGATATTTTTCGTGAATTATTTCCATTTAAGAAATACTGAATGTGTTCTTCCTTTTTGGGTTTCTAACTCTAGGTTTTAGCATATCTCGTAATTTCTGACTTTGACTTCTCTAGCTGCCCTTTGAAATGTTCTATTCTGATTTTACTTTACCCTTCTCCCCATTTGTTTTAGCTACTCTACAATTAAAAGCAAGTTTCAGAATCTCTTCTTTTTTTAAAGTTTAAGTAGGATATTTCATCTTTCTGTATCCAGAGCTCAGAATGATATCTCACACCAAATTTTATTTTAGTAAATAAAAACAAAGGATATCGTCATTCAGATATTGTTCCTCTGTGCTAAGTACGCTTTTAGGACATGAGAAAAGTCACCAAAATACATGGTGCTTTCTTTTCATGGGTTTACATTGTTAAAGAGATTGAAAAGAAAATGAAAATATCTGGAAAGAATTAATGCATTTGAATTATGGTGATGGATAAAAACAATGAATATACTATGGGCTCCCAGAAGAATGAATGAAGATTCTTACAATAAGTAAAGTAGGAATGTTCCTTAGAAATGAAGGTAGTTATCTATGATGATCCTATCCCAAACCTGAACAAACTGTTGAAAAAAAGTTTATATGGATCTGGCTTCTGAGTTGGGGGGAAAAAGAAAAAGAAAGAAATGAAGACAGTGAGACTTCATCTCATGTGTTTTGTGCATGTTATCTGGAAAGTCTGAGCAACACTTTTCTGTTTTGTTATGCTCAGGATTCATATGAGTTGAAACTACCATTAAATTGATCTAACTCATTTCAATCACATGTGTTCAGAAAAGGAGTTTTCTCCACAGGGTTTTCAAGGCTGTTACTTCTAGGAAACTGATCACCAGACCTATCTCCTGAGGGCCCTCTGGGTAAGTTTGGCAAACCAAAAACCAAACTCACTGTCACTGAGTTGGTGCCGACTCACAGAGACCCCATATAGGGCAGGGTGGTAGTGCTCCTGTAAGTTTATGAGAGGCAGAGTCTTTCTGGCATCCACTTCCTGTCTGTTTCATAACATTTAGCTTTCTTCATGAATGATGTTCTTGTTATCCTCCCACAGCCCATCAGGTCTTCTGTCGTTAGTGTTCAATGCATCAGATCTTTCCATGAAATAGACTAAAAATTCAGATGGGATAGACTTACAGTCATATTTGGGTTCTCATGAATTTGTTTTAATTTTTTTCAGGTTAACCTGAACTCTTACATATGAGCAGTTGATGGCCTGTTCTGCAATCAGCCCCTGGCTTGTTTTAGCTACTGATAGTGAGCTTCTCTTACATCTCACCTCTAGCATCTCATCACAATATAGTCAATTCGATTTCTGTGTATTCCATCTGGAGAAGTCCTTTCTGTATATCCATTTTTTTTTGCATTGTTGAAAAAAGGTATTTGCTATGAACAAGTAATTGGTCGTGCAAAATCCTATCATGCCATCTCCAGCTTCATTTCTATCACCAAGCCAATGTTTTCAACTACTGTTCCTTCCTCTTTATTTCTAATTTTACATTCCAATCACCAATAATTATCAATGCATCTTCATTGCATGTTTTATCAATTTCCAACTGAAGATATTGGTAGAATTCTTCAATATCTTCACCATTAGCTTTTGTGATTGGTGCATAAATTTGAATAAAATTTGTTTTGATTAGATTTCCTTTAAGGCAGATAAATATGAGCTCATCAGGGACAGCATTGTACTTCAAGATTTTGTGCTGTCGTTGACCATGAATGCAATGCCATTCCTCTTGACTGTTTTTTTTTCCTGGCATAAGTAAATCATATGATTTTCTGATTTAAATGACCAACACCAGTCCATTTAAGCTCACCAATGCCTAGATATTAATCTACATGCATCCTATTTTATTTCTGATGACTTCAAATTCTTTTAGATTCATACTTTCCATGTTCCAAGTTTCCATCATTTTCAGATTTTTGCAGCTATTCTTCTTACCTTGATTCATGTCCCATCAGCAAATGAAGGCGCCATTCACACAGGCTTTATTCCATTCATGTCACCATGTTGGGCTCCACTCTGAGAAACAGTTCCTCTTCAGCTACATTTCGAGTTCTCTCTGACTAGAAGGGCCCATCTTCTGGCACTATGGCCAACAGTGATCTGCTTTCATTCATTAGGCCTTCAGTATATGACAACGTTTCGAAGCTATGCATAAGGTTTTCAGTGGCTACTTGCTCCCAGGTGGGCAGCCAATTTCGTCTTCATTGTGTGTTCTTAGTCTGGAAGCTCTGCTGAAACTTGTTCATTTTAGTAACCCTGTTTAGCTTCCAGCATCACAGAAAAGCACAAGCTCTCACAGTGCAACAAACTGGTAGTCAAGCGGTGGACCTATATATAAAGGACTTCAAAACTTCATGGAAAATGAAATTAGATGATTAAATGAATTAAATTAAAATTTAAAACTTTATTTTTCAATATAAATTCCATCACAGTCAAGATACCATGGTAAGTGATGATATCAGTCATTTAGTCTATCCCCCCACTCCCACCACCACCAAACTGACTGAAAACCAAACTCACTGTCATCTCGCCATTGCCAGCTCATAGTACAGGACTGGGCCGGATTTCCCCTGTGAGTTTCTGAGACTGTAACTCTTTACAGGAATAACAAACCACACCTTTTTCCTGAGGAGCGGCTAGTGGTTTCAAACTGCTGATGCTATGGTTAGCAGCCCAACATGTAACCACTATACCACCAGAGCTCCAAGACTGTTATCTTGGAGATTTTACCATTTATTTTTTACACTATTAACTGAGGAGAAAAATGAGTGCCTTTTTTTTTTAATGTTTTTTTGAATTAGGAAACAAGTCAGAGGGGGCCAAAAATGAAATCAGAAGGAGTCAAATCAGGCCTTGGCAGATGAATGCCTAATGCTCTCCTATCTACACTCACAGATTCTCCCATGTTTGGTGAGAAGAATGAGCAGGAACAGTATCTGTGGAGAAGGATTCTCTTGATATTTTTGTGCTAATGCTTTCACTAACTTTCTCAAACTACTCCTATAATAAAAAGATGTTATTGCTCGTTGGCTCTGTAGAAAGTCAACAAACAAACGTTTTTAGATTTTACTTTTCATTGGTTCACTTTTGCTTTAACTGTATCATTCCTACCTCTTTGGTAGCCATTGCTTTGGTTGTACTTTTCCTTTGGTTCATACCAGTAGGGCCATCATCTCCTGTGGCAATCCTTCAAAGAAATGCTTCAGAATCATGATTCCACTTGTTTAAAATGTCCACTAAACGCTATGTTCTCATCTGCATCTCATCTGGGCTTAAATATTTGGGCACGCATTGAGCAGAAAGATTCCTCAATTTTAATTTTTTAACCCAAGTTGTGTAAGCTGAAGCAATTGAGATGTCTTTAGTATTTGGCACTTGTTTCTATTATTAATCACTGGAGTTCTTCAATTAAAGAGTGCACAAATTGATGTGGATTCCCTGTTGCTGTAGGCTTCCTCTCCAACATTATCTTCTGTCTTCTTAAAAAGAATTATCCACTTCTAAACTGCTGATTGCCGGAGTCATTGTTCCTATAAAGATTTCATAAAGCATCAGTGTTTTCACCTTTCTTCCATTCAAGCTTTGCCATAAATTTAATGTTTGCTCTTGCTTTAAATTTAGGATAATTCATGTTGCAGTGATAGCAGCTCTTTTCCAGCTGATGTCTTATCATTCTTTAGATATGTTATAACAAGTTAGTGTGAAATAATTCTGTGCACAAAAATTATGAAACTCATGAACACTTTTTTCTTAATACCCATTTTATGTGGACTTTTTGAAGACGCCTTGTACCATTACGGGAGATTTCTAAGTGTTTATTAAGCAAAAGAGTCACAGCCTTTTATTCATTTTGAGATATTTCTGTTAGATAATGGCACAGGTAGAATTAGGCCAAGGGATGTAGTACTTACTATTCTTCAGTTCAACCCAGCACAGGAATAGCATTCTGGAAAGTAAGTGAATATATTGCCTTTGCAGGAGACTGAAAAGTCTAGTGTATCAGAAGCTAGGGTCAATGATGGGTGGTGATAACTGATGAGAGTTAAATCCTGGCCTCCAAGGAACTTGACTGGTATCCTCATATAAGACAGCCAGCTTTTATTATCTATTCTAATCTTTTATCTAAAGAAGCACTGGTATTGTGGGAAAAGGTTGCTACCAAAGGTATTTTCTCCAATTAACATAATATGGAGAAACAACATTTAGGAGAAGAAAAATATCTGCTTGACCTATCAGTAAATTTCCCTGCCCATAGAGCTCCTTGGTCATTTCACAGACATTTGGAGCTCTGACTCCACTGCTGCTCCTCACAAAGAATAAATTTGCTTAGCAAATGAATAACCTTCTCTGTCATGTAACTGTCTTATCAATAACCCTTCCTTACTCTTCACAACCATTGAACCAGTTATCCAGAATATACAAGGGACTTCCAAAAGTTTGTGGAAAAAATCCATGATCTTTCATTGAAATTTTCCACAGCCCCCTGTGTATCTCTGAAGTCATTTTAATAGGTTTGGGGGAATCAATTGTTTAAAATCACAGACACAAATAGCCACTTTGAAAAGAAATCCTTATATCAGGCTCTCCATTGGTCAAATAAATATATGAACTTTTATTTGTGAAATGCTTTCCTAAAGTATATCAAGTCATCTGCTTTTCCTTTATCTATCTGGTGTTTCTGTAATAGATGATTCAACACGTGTTCCTCTCGGAGAAAGTAATGACTACATCAATGCTAGTTATATTAGAATAGTAAATTCTGGAGAAGAATATTTTTACATTGCTACTCAAGGACCACTACCAGACACCATAAGTGATTTTTGGCAAATGGTTTTAGAAAATCAAGCTAATGTTATTGCCATGATGACCAGAGAGATAGAAGATGGAACTGTCAAATGCCACCGCTACTGGCCTATCTCTCTTAAAAAACCTTTGGAATTGAAATATTTCCGTATCTTCTTGGAGAACTACCAGATACTTCAATATTTCATCATTCGAATATTCAAAGTTGTGGAGAAGACTGTAAGTGTTTAAAAATCAATACTATATATGTTCCCCTAACTAAGCAATAAGGACTATTATAAGGAATAGAATGCGAAATATGTATTAAGTCCTTAATATAGACTATATCTGTGCCCAGCACCACTGGTGCTTACTGAGTAATAGGAAGATGGGTAGACTCCTGATGATTTCAATTACTGCGTTAAGTTGAAATAACGGAGGCTTGGAAGGGAGGTACTTAAGTTTACTTGGGGCTTGGGGAAAGGTTTAGTAGAGGTGATGCCTAGATTGAGAATTACTCATATAAAACCAATGGAAAGAAGAAACAGATCATTTAAATGAAAATAGCATGAGATATCTATAGAGAAATGTAAGTAGGTAAGTATTGCTGAATATGAATATTCAATGCAAGTAGTAATTAATGAGAAGTGAGATGAGACTGTAGGAGAGAATAGCCAGAATGTGAAATGTTTTTAATTTCAGATAAGAACAACAGATTTTATTAAAAGGATATTTGAGAGACATTGAAGAATTTTAGTAGGAGAGAGGTATGATCAACTTTTTAAGAAAGTTGGCATTAGGTTGGAAAACAAAGGCATAGTCATTTTGCAAGTAAAATTCATATATGTATAACTTATGAGTGACAATAGGAAGCATCAAAAACTGCTCAAACCAATTCAGTAGCCACATGTGGCTATTCTAAGTTTAAATATTTAAAGTTTTATTAAATAAAAAATGTATTTAACAAATTGCAATAGCCACATGTCTGGTGTTCATTAGTCACCTATGACTAGTGGCTATCATCTTGGACAGTATGAATATGAAACATTTTCATCCATTTAAGTTTTCATCAAAGTAAGTTTTATTGAGTAGTTCTGGTTTACTGTAATTCATGTACTTCCAGCTCTAATAGATTCAGAAAATCAAAAGGAATTATATGTAGGAGAAGATTATGTATTATGTTCCTCTAAGTAAATTTGTGAGGTAATACATGAGCTCAGCAAGAGTGAAGTGGGTAAAAGTTGAGCAAAAAAATTCATAGAAAATGATAAGGTTTGCAAAAAGCGATGACGTTTGGAGCATAGACAAAGGCAGGAAAAGCATAGTGCTAAGGTTTTAGAATTCACAAATCTGTAATGGTAATGGAACATTTTATAGCTATGTGATTATTTCTAGCACTCTAGCTATGGACTTGCGGAAGACAGATTGTGTGTGGGACCGGTATGGTTGGGATGTTGTATGTAGCAAGAACTAAGAATAAAGGAGTTAGCAGTTCACTAAAAGAATAATGCAGAAGTCAAACATGAATCTCAACTGCTCAGAGAGGTGAATGGGATCAGAGAAGGAGGGCAACGGGGAATTAGTGGAGGATTTAAAAAACTGGAGAGCATCATGTGTGATGTTGGATTGAAGTGAAGCAGGGATGAGCTGTTTCTTGTCAGAAAGTGAGGCTGTGTGTAAAACTGAAGATTGCATGTGATGGTAAAGAGTGGTCAATATCACAAGAACTAAAAGAACAGTTGTTCTTTTAACTCTAAGAGGGAACTAAACATACTGTGACCCTATGATCTGTTGAGATCTGAATTCATCTGCCATGATGTCAAAATATGTAGTAGGGAGATGATTATGTTCTTCACAGTATAGAAGACCTACCAGAAGAGCAATGAGAAAATAGAAGCTTGGAGCTATGTGCTTCAAAGGAAAAAAGTAGATTTTATACAATGGTAAATTCATGGAAAATGGAATTAAAAGATAATGGACTCTTTCAAACTTTTTTTATACCTATATATTTTTTGGCTTGTTTTTGCTGTCTTAAACTTTTCTAAACCATAAACATCACCAACGGGCTCTTCTTCGTGTGTGTTTCATAGTGACATTCCTACCTTCATCAACTATGTACGCTTTACTCTCCACAAGTCACTTCTGAGTGGTGTGCAATGCATACTGCGAAGGGCATTATGTGTGCTTGAAGTATATAAGCCAGGTGTGTGGCACAGAAGAATTGTCTGCTGCAAGGATGTAAATGTTGAATGTGGGTCTGAGTTCAGTCAGAGTGGACTTGACCTCATGGAGTCAGGATAAAGGTATCTAGGATGGAGGCTGTTCAGATGAGGCCTGCAGACTTTAGAAATTTGGCACTCAACTTTCCAAAGTATGCTTCAAGGGTTCAGCTTTTGTGGCAGTCAGGAAATCTTCAAGGACCACCTTACTGCAGTACAGCTTCTCAGGAGATTAACATAGCAGCATAGATTTAGCCCAAGCAATATAGGACATGATTATAGCTTTCCTCGACTTCACAAGATTTTCAAGTATTGTTTTCATCATTCAGTTTCATGTGCCAATGACTTGAACTTTAGTTTTCTGTTTGGTGTCAAGTTATGAAAGGTGTTGGATATCTGTGACTCACCTCTTCCCACTGTCATTTATAGACCAAAAGATACTTCTATTTTTTCAAATCATGTGTAATACTGAAAACATCAATAACTAAAGGGATGTAGAGATTTCTTAGATTTATAATTTCAGGGAGAAGTTTTAAAAAACATCCAAGGAGGATTTCAATAAACATGTGAAATTATCAGGGGATCTCTAAGTACCAACATCTTTATTAAAGATGTTATACAAAGATGTGTTAGGGAAAGGTTAGGAGGACAAAACTCGACTGTAAGTTGTTTACAAGGGTCCTACTTGAAGACAATGAGGACCCCCCACTGAAGGAAGGATAATCCCTTTCTTGGGGATTATGGGCCAACTCAAAGTGTTTTTTTGGTTTGTTTGCCAACCATTAAATCTTTGATGATTCTCCTTCAAAGGGTCAGTTCAGGAACAGGAGCCATAGTCTCCTCGCATGACCAGTTGATCGTTTTGTTCTCATTGCCAAAGAAACGCAGTGAACCCTCATTAGGCAACTTGACACTATCAAGTGGTTTAAATTAAATTTAGTATCACGATAGTTAAAGTTAATGCCTTTTTATCTTATTCCTAACATATCAACTCACTTTTTCTGTAAATATTTTATAATCTTTGTTTTTCTCTACCCTTATGGTGCAGAAGAAAGATGATAGATTAGGATCCAAGAGGCCTGATTTATAGTCCCAACGCTAAATATTATTATGCTTATGACCAAAGCATAAATCTCTTAATACCTCCAATATGTTGTCTCTTTGCCTATAAAATAAAGACAAAATAATACCTGCCTCACAGAGTATATTTAAGGATGAAATGAAAGAGTGCAGGTGGAGTAACTAATGCAGGGCCTCGAATACAGTAAGTGCTGAGTTTATGTTACCTGTTAGTGATGTTCTGATAGTTGTTGTTGTGTTTCTTGGAAAAGGAGCTACTAACAACTTATAGAATTCTTTAAAATATGAAAATGAGGTTTTAAATACTCATTTGAAATCTCTATATAATGCCATCTCAAAAAATCCAAACTTCCTACCACGGATACAATTCTGATCCTGATTCACAGCAACCCATAGGACAGAACAGAACTTATCCTGTGGATTTTCCAAACTGTAGATCTTTACAGGAGCAGAGTACCCCATCTTTCCCCCAGAGAGCAAGCACTTGGTACTTTCGAATTGCTGACCTTGGGGTTACCAGCCAAACTCAAAATCTAGTATTCCCCCAGGGCTCCTTATCATACCCTCTAGCCATGATTATTGCTACTGTTGTTAGAAATGAGGTCTGAATATAAGAAATGGCTGACATTTCCTCGGACTTTTCCTCCTTCTCCTGTATTTTCTCTATTTCGTTGTCAATCTCTTGATCTGTGTCAATCTCTCTCCACAGACTGGAACTGTTCACGTTGTAAAACAGCTGCAGTTCACAAACTGGCCAGACCATGGCACTCCTGCCTCAGCAGATGATTTTATCAAGTTTGTTCGTTTAGCAAGGAAGAGTCACCAGAGTGGGCCTGTCATTGTTCACTGCAGTGCTGGCATAGGCCGAACTGGGGTTGTGCTGTGTGTGGATGTTGTGTTCTGTGCCATTGAAAAGAACTTTCAGGTAAGTATGTCAAGTAGATAATGCAAAGTTGCTAGTAAATCATAATTTTAACAAACACCCAACATTGGAAAACTAACCTTAGGTCTTGAAATTGAAAGTTCATGTAGCCCAACTTGGTGCAAATTACTTAACCTCAATGAAATTTTGACTCCTGAGGCTGGTTGTGAGAATTAAATTATATAGAGCAAATAAGTAACTTAGGCAGTATCTGGTACAAATCAGGTACACCATAAGTATGAATTCATTTCCCTCTCCTGTCTTCCACTCTATACCTGTTATTTTATTTTATTTTTTAGAACACTATTACAGAATATATTTGCTTTTGATGAACAAAAAATATATTCCCAAGGACACACTGGAAAAATCATAGCTTTTGGAGTTAATGAGAATAAATGGTAGAACTGCCCCTGTGGGTTTCCAAGACTAAATCTTTACAGGAGTGAAAAACCTAATCTTTATCCTGCAAAGTCGCTTAAGATTTTGAACTCTTGATATTGGGGTGTGCATTCTAATTCATAACCCACTCTGCCACCAGGACGTGATGGCAGTGAGTTTTAAATTGTTTGCTATTGTTGTTAGGTGCCATCAAATTGGTCCCCACCCATAGTGACTGAATACACAACAGGACAAAACAATATCCTATCCTGTACCATCCTTAAAATTGTTCCTATTCTCAAACTCATTGTTGCAGCCACAGTGACAGTCTATCTCTTTTTCACTGCCCCTTCACTTTACTGAACATGATGTCTGTCTTCAGGGACTGATCTCTCCTGACATTTTCAAATATGAATTCTCACCATCGTTAGCTCTAAGGAAGAACTCTGGCCATATTTCTTCCAAGACAGAATGATTTGTCCTTTTAGCAGTCCGTGTAATTTTCAATATTCTTCACCAGCACCACAACTCAAATGTATCAATTCTTCTTTAGTCTTCTTTATTCAATATCTAACTTTCACATGCATATGAGGAAATTAAAAATGGGTGCATAAGCAAATGTGGTGGAGAAAGCTGGTGGT